GCTATCATCCCTTGTACCCCAATTGCCAGAACGCGAATTGCATAAATAAGTTGGTGTTTTTCTTGGGTAAATGTTTTGCATAAATGAAATAGATTTTCAACCGCTATATTTTAGTATTTTTAAATGAATGAGATTCAATTGTTACTCTATAATATATTTTTCACCAAATGTAATTTTTAAATTCTCAGCTATGATTTTACTGCATTACTTCTTTCCAATTAACGCATGATACATGTGCAACAACACCTGGCATTTCACATTTTCAAGAAAATGAATGCGCCCATGTCATGCAAAAAGGCATTACATAATGCCAAGAAAGCTTCATCTATATCTCTTGTACACGTTCGTAAGATTTATTGTACATCAAAAGACAGGAACTCGTCTCCTTTTTCAGAATACCTACACTTAGTATTTGGGGTTAGTTATTCTTTAAACACGCATGGAGAATTATAAAATCAATTTAAACAGAACTGGTTCAGTTCTGAATACACAAAGTCAGTAAAACATACATGGAGAAATTTAATATCATGAACTTAGGTTTAACAGAACTGACCAGGGCTCCAAGATAAACTAAGTTATTTTAACTGAATATTTTCCTTTGGCAAAATTTTCAATTCAAACCTAGCTTTTAAAAATGCTTTGGTAATTTTAAAAGCTCGTCACTACACAGAAACGCGTTCTAAAAGATTATACTGATCAGTTTCATAAACTGCAATGTTTCAGTTTTCAAATTAGACCATATATGTTGCATTCAGTCAATTCTGAATATTTAACCTAAAGGTTTACGTATTCATGGAAATGCTAGGTAAATTATTGTGTGCAACTTAGTCATAGAATTAACTTTACGAAATATGTATGATGTTTCTTTGCCACCCTCCTTGATACTACAATTTTTTTTCTTTTCATTGAAAGTAGCATTTTCCTATTAATTTTCATTCACGGAATTACTTCTGCCTCAGGTCTACAGACAGAAGTCAATGTTGATGGTGTATCACCAACATCGGCAACATTATCATGGACGCCAATTCCTGGAAGCTTTTTCTACCGGGTATTCTACACTGGGCCGGATGGAGTAGAACATTCGGGAAATCCCACTACCGATCCCACAACAACCATTACAGGTCTTACTCCTGGAACTACGTATATCTTCCGTGTGGAATCAACTGACCAAGCGGGACAAAGAGTATTGGGAAGTGTACCAGCCACGACAGGTATGTAATGTTTGTAAGATTTGAACTCATGCAGAACAGGAAGAGAAAATATTGAGAATAGTGAATTATTTGAATTATTAAAAAAGGACTGCCGACTGTGCAATGAAATGAAAATGCAATATAAATTTACAAAGAAAGAAAGGAAAGTGAAACCGTTCCACAAAATAATATTGTGGATGTATTCGCATTAAATCGCCAACGAATTGTATGATATTTATCATAATTAATTCGTGATATCAATGTTCTGAGTTTGAAAATAAGTAGAAAAATGAGGCAAACAGCACTTGTGTATTAAAGATCAGTTTTTTATTTGTGTATATTTGTACGAAAATGTATACATATATTCCGAAAGCTCACACTAAAAATAAATGCTTAGGAGCTACATAATATACTGTTTCCAGATGATTCCAGGTAGTTTCTTTTAATATATGTTAGTTTGGAGAATATATTGAAAATATGGAATTTAAGTTGGGAAATGTTAGCAACAACCTAATACGCCATGTATTGTAGTCCCATATAAATATCATATCTATGTGTAGTGCATTTGACCTTTGATGAGACTGAGTACATTTTTGTATCATTTGGATGATTCCGAATCTTTAAAGAGTACATTGATGCTTAGGTGCTTCTTTGCCTCCCTCCTCGATACTAAAACTCATTTTTATTGTTGTTAAAAGTAGCATTTTCTTATTAATTTTCATCCACGGAATTAATTCTGCCTCAGATCTACAGACAGAAGTCAATGTTGATAGTGTATCATCAACATCGGCAACGTTATCATGGACGCCTATTCCTGGAAGATTTTTCTACCGGGTATTCTACACTGGGCCGGATGGAGTAGAACAGTCGGGGAATCTCACTACCGACCCCACAACAACCATTACAGGTCTTACTACTGGAACTACTTATAACTTCCGCGTGGAATCAACTGATGGAGCGGGACAAAGAATTTTGGGAAATGTAGCAGCCACTACAGGTATGTAATGTTTGTAAGATTGGAACTCATGCAAAACAGGAAGAGGAAATATGGAGATGAATGAATCATTTGAATTATTATTTTTAAAATGCCCACAATTCAATGAAATGAAAACAATTATTCATATAGTTTAAGAATATACGTTTATATCATACAGTAAACCGTTCCACATGTTAACAGATAATTCTTTCCCTTCCCACCCCATTCACTCATCCTCCATCTCGTATATAAGTAACAAAATTCAATGAAACTTGCATTTGGTTTAGTTGGTTGGTTTAATGGTCTATTTTGCAAGTGTGCACAAAAAGCATGTGCCTGCAAGTAAGCCACCTGTGATCAGAGGAATAATGTCTAGAGGGCAGTATCAAATCAACTTGGTCCTCCTGCTCATGAACCAACTCTTGGGTCCGGGGAGAATATTGAATGAATGAATGATATGCTGATGTACTGAAACATAAAGGATCATGTAATTCCAACAAGGTCTATCAGTCGATTTTGACATGTCAAGGAAAAAAAGAAGAATAGATTCTGGGGAACAAAATAGCGAACTATCTCAATAGGAAGCTGTCTGACAACTGAAAGCAACCTTATGCCCAGTTCTTTAAACAAATTAAGGATATTGATAATGGATTTAATTGAATAGAATCTAATGAAAATGAATAAAATCAAGTAGAAGAGCTGTTCAGGGCTTGATTTCTCAGGGCATTTTCTTTTTGGAAAATTGCCGTAATGAACAGAGGGTACAAATACATCGTACCAGGGGGCAGCGTTCAAGTTGGTTCAGCGTTGGCTACAACACGTTGGTAAAAACATCGTTTGTTATGGTATTCTTGAGTTCTGGTAATAATGGAACTTTAAAATATCACAGAAATGTGATCATGGGGCTGTTGCTACCCCTAAAGATACCCCCCCCCCGATTCGGGGGTGTGGGGGTAGATCCCAATAATGATTTGTCTAAATTATCAACATGAGAGTATTCCACACACCTATAAAACAAACCTGGTTTGCAAGGACACCTGTCACGTCCATGACATCCACTCCAGTCACATCCGTGACTCTAAGTGAAACGATGACGTCATCGTCGAGAACTTCACAGACTCTGGGTTCCGGCAATTTTGTTACATTGAAATCTCTAAAATGATCAATAACCTTCATAATAGAAATGTGCATATCTGTATATTATACAGTCACTTCCTCCACTCCAAACAACAGCCTCCCTTTCTCAGGAGGGATACCCTCGTTATCTCATATAACCCTTCCCAATTGTTTTACTAGAAGTGGTACCCGTTTAATTATTTAACTAACTACCTCTTAATCATTTAACCCCTTTATCTGTCTACTAGCATTAATTAACTAATTACCCCTAATTGATCCCCTTTTCTTTCTAACGGGCACTTCGTGCTGTTTCTGGTTCATATATATTTTTGCAAGAAAGCATATCATCAGAATTTTATTTCCAAGTTTTACAATCAATTGGAATCAGCAGGCTTTAATATATACTCAAAATTATATTTCGCTCCCTTCAGTACCTTGTCACGACTGCGGACTTCCGAGAAATATCACTCGAATTCTCGAAAGCATTTCAAAGGTAAAATTTAACCGTTCTTTTGTTTAAAGATTTTATTTTAATCAATTTCAAAAGCAATAAAAACACTTATTATATTGAATCTTTGGTTATTTAAATTCTAAGGCTTGATTTTATTATTTTTATTCATGGGATAGAGAAACAAACTATACATAGGCCCTTCCAATTTAATCACATCAAATTTCCAACCAACTAATTGCTCAAAACACTGGATAACATATATCCCCCCTCAGTTCATCCAGGATTAGAAAGGGATTTTCGATTATTTACAATATATACATGTTTATAGGTTATTAGACAAATCAATCGTATGATATAATCGGGGGATCCTACAAAAACGATTTTTCTGTTCAAAGAGGGATTAAAGCAACATCAATACTTGGGTTTTATTAACCTAATTTTCATTTCTGAGTAATGGAATTTCGGAATTAACAACCTTCTGAGATACGAACCTTCGAAAAAACAAGAAATACAAGTTCTCTCCATAATCATTATCACAATTTTATCCTTCCAGATAAATTTGACGGATGACGTGGCTGTGGAAGTTTCAGAAAACATCGCAAGACTTGTGACTGAGAACATATCAGCAGCCGATGTTATACTCGTGTCCAATATTTCATCTCGGATTGCCGATCTTAACTATACCAATACGGATGTTAGTTCATGTCCCAAAATGCATTAAACACAATTAAAAAAAAATATTTAAAAAATACTTACTGCAACTCTGATATTTGTTGGCCCAATCGAAATCCCCCTTTACTACAAATTAAGCAAAGATTACCCAAGTGAAGACTATAATTGCCTAAAAGTTGGTCAGACACATAATTTCTATTGCAATGTTCGCAAATTTCGATAGGTGGATAACAACACAGGGTAGCTTTGCTAAAGCAAAAGTAATACATGTGGTAGTTCTATGTATGTGCTTTGACCTAACTAGTCTTGTGATGGGTATATACTTGATAAGAAAATATCACACGTTTCGGTTTGGTGAAATGATCATCGAATTGAATTGAATTGATTGTTTAATTGAATTGGTCTATTAGAAAACAACAACACGACATGAAGCTCAAGGCTGATATTGTCTGTTTAACAAAGTAATCAGATAATTACATCATAACACAAACAAAAAAGTACAAAAACAATATAATAAATAACAATAGCAACATCACTGAGCAATATATGTTTTATAAAATATCTATCTCCGCTTGCATCCCATATTAAGATCTTGGATTATGTGGCAACGATTGCAAGCAACATTGCTGATGTTGACATGGATAAGCTCCGGGAGGCCGAGGATGAAGAGGACGCTGTGAGTCAATTCGTTATGTCCTTTGAGCGACAGCTGAACAACGTGGAATTAGATGATGGAGAATCTATCAGCATCACAAGACCTAACGTTGCACTACAGGTGACCAACAATGATAAAAGCATCAATTAGTATTCAAAAGAGTAGAATAAATTGCCATTGTTTTCCCCAAACATAAATGATTACAGACAAACCTTAAAGGTAATACAAAGTTTTGGTATGTGGTCATGAATATGGTTCAAATGAACATATTTGAAGCTTATGCGATCCTACGATATTCAGTAATAGTTGTCGCGGTTGAAATCGAGTCTTAAGTTATGAAATTGTAAATAATAAACTTTATGTTCTATAGCTCCCTCTCAAGGTCAAGATATTAATTAGGCTATAAAACAATGTTTCTTGACAAAAATCGACCATTTAGCTATTCCCGTTTGGAAATTGTATAATGCAACTACATATTCTGAGATTGTCATGGTCGCAGCTACCATTGTACGGACGTAGGTGGTATTGGAAATTTATCAAAATTTACCGGGAGCACCGGTATTTTTTTAAAAATTCAATTCTTCTCGAAAGCAGAAGTGTTTTAGGGGCCAAATTTTATAGTGCTTATAATACACCCACAGGGGCATCCAAATATATCAAAGGTGTAAAGAATCAGTATCCACCCAATTTTCAATATTTCCCAAAACTTTGTATTACCTTTAAGAAGAAAACCGTCTGGCTGGAAACGTATATTTTGACGCGTATCTACACCCCCCCCCCCAAAGAAAGGGTACACGTTCTGAATAAAGAAAATAAGTAATGCCTAATGCCTATTCTATTTTGCTCTCACAATTTAAGATTTTAACATTGTAATATTTGATATCGAAGGGTTGAAATAATATTCTGTTTATAAATAAATACGTTACAATGCTGTATAACATTTTAGCGTCAATGTTTGCACTTTCTCGGTACTCCTTTTATATCGTTTTTTTAAGAGGGGGTTTTCGTTCTTTTCCCTCTCCCCTCCTCTTCCCCTCCCTTTCTCTCTTCTTCTTCTCTCTCTCTCTCTACTTTTCATTTATCGTGACCTCATTTTGCTCATCCAAAACAGATCCGGAGTGTAGCAGCTGATGACTTCAGCCAAGGTCTGGTCATAACGCTAGATCTCCCCACTTCAAGTACTCAAGAACTGACAGCATCTAACATCAGCCTGCACAACGCAACGGATTTCAATAGACGGGACCAAATAAATAATACCGCAGCTCAAGTAAGCATCCCAAAAGAGATCTTCTCCACTCCTTCATCATCGTCTCAAACTTCAACCTCCGATTTCGATATGCCGAACAACGAGAGCCACTACCAGAAACTGGTTTTCAACGTCTACTCCTCGCCATCCCTTCATATATCCAGGTCATTACATAATATCAGCGAGAGTCCAGAAGGTTCCAACCGATCGGCCAATACACTTGTTCTTTCTCTCAAAATTGGAAGGAGAAAGGTGGAGATGGTAAACGAGTTGATAAACTTCACCTTTACACCACTGAAGGTAAAAACAGACATTTCGTTTTTCTAAATGTAAGGTCACTGATTTTGTTTCAAGAAAGAGCATCCATCTTGTGAAACATTTGTGTGTGTGTGTGTGTGTGTGTGTATGCTGAAACAGAAAGCGTTTAATTCTAAAACCCTGACTTTTTCCTCTCCGTTTGTATACTTTAGTCTTTCAAAAGTCAGTCTCTTTTTATGCCTCCGTTACGAAGTAGCCGGAGGCATTATGTTTTCGGGTTGTCCGTCCGTCCGTCCGTCCGTCTGTACGTACGTCCCGTTCTCGTGATCGCGTTATCTGAAGAACCGATTGATGAATTCCTGCCAAACTTTGGTCATGTATGTATCTTGCAGAGCCAATGAACTGATTAGATTTTGGGGTCACGAGGTCAAAGGTCAAAGGTCACAGGGCTCATTATGTATGCAAAAACAGCTCGTGATCGCGTTGTCTGAAGAACCGATTGATGGATTCCTGCCAAACTTAAGTCATGTATGTATCTTGCAGAGCCAATGAATCGAATAGATTTTGGGGTCACGAGGTTAAAGGTCAAAGGTCACAGCGCACATTATGTATGCAAAAACAGCTCGTGATCGCGTTGTCTGAAGAACCGATTGATGGATTCCTGCCAAACTTAAGTCATGTATGTATCTTGCAGAGCCAATGAATCGAATAGATTTTGGGGTCACGAGGTTAAAGGTCAAAGGTCACAGCGCACATTATGTATGCAAAAACAGCTCGTGATCGCGTTGTCTGAAGAACCGATTGATGGATTCCTGCCAAACTTTAGTCATGTATGTATCTTGCAGAGCCAATGAATTGAATAGATTTTGGGGTCACGAGGTTAAAGGTCAAAGGTCACAGCGCACATTATGTATGCAAAAACAGCTCGTGATCGCGTTATCTCAAGAACCGATTGATCGATTCATGCCAACTTAGGTCATGTATGTTACTTGCAGAGCTGATGAACTGATTAGATTCTTGGTTCATAAGGTCAAAGGTCATGGGCTCATTATGTATGCAAAAATAGCTTGTGAACGCATTCTCATTAGAACTGACAGATGGATTACTATTTAACTCAGGACATCTTGCAGAGCCAATGAACTGAGTAGATTTTAGGGTCATGAGGTCAAAGATCAAAGGGTCATATATGTATGTGATAAATTGCTTGTAATCACGATATTCTGAGAACCTGTTAATGGATACAATTGAACTTGAATTCGAAAAATTTCTTCTGTTTTGGTTTGTAAAATTGCTCTATGACGGAGGCATCATTTTCGACTGCGCGCAGTCAAAGTTCCATCTAGTTAAATTTTAGAAACAACGACGACAGGCTTGAAAAGGCAGGGTGAATTGACACCGTTTTCGAAAGGAAGAGATTCCTATTTCCGAACGCACTTCATACAGAAAATGTATTGTCTCTCGAGTGGTAATCATAATGTTTCTTTGAGAAAATGTTTTTTGCTGTTGTTGTTTAGTTCAGATGTTGAACCATTCAATTTCTGGACATGCTGTTAGGATATAGTTCGCTGTTATATCTTGAGAACGATGAGAATCTAAACCACAGCCTATTTTAACTCATATCCTGCCATAAGGCCGCATGCACGCTACCGTTATAGTGTTTTGTACACGCGAGCGCGTTATCGATTGGGTGCTTAATTCACGTGAGCGACTCATCGCTTCGGTGCTTTATGCATGATTGCCCGCATTCGTATTAGCAGTTTTTGATTATGCTCATTGTACTGTGCGTAGTGTTTCGCTTATCTCAACATTAAATTGGCACAGGGGGATTTGAGGCATTGCACATTGGGTATTAGCCCTGTGGCATTAGGCTGTATTCAGTATGGCAGGAAAAGAGTTAATAAAAACAGTTTTTCTTTCATATATTTTTTTTAAATCCTTGATCTTAGCCTGGCCGCAATGCAGTTTGTACATTCTGGGATGAAGACCTAACAGACTGGTCTCCAGATGGATGCAGGCTGCTTTCACATAGTCTACCGAGTCGCTTTGACGCAGACGAGTCGTCCAATGCAACTGGTTACGGTAGAGTCGTGTGTGGATGCAACCATCTCACTAGTTTTGCGGTGTTAATGGTAAGATTGTTTTAATAATAATGTAATAATAATAAGTAGATCTATTATTAAAGCGCAGCTAATATATAGTTTAGTGTACTCTTCTGCCCTGTGATGGAGAAAAAACTCATCACAGCGCTACTTTACAAAGAAACAGTACAAAAATAAAAATTATTTAAAAAATATTTTAAAGCTCCTGAAACCAAGTGCGTTTTCAACAAAACTTTGAAAACAGCAAGAGATGAGGCTTTTCTTGTGTCTAGTGGTAGACTATTCCAAAGCTTCGGAGGGCGCATTTGAAAGCACAATTTCCATGGCAAGAGTTACTTTAGTTTTTGTGTGAGGTAGCTTTAAGAAGCAGCTTGTCCTGTTCACTGTTCGCAAGTTACGAGCATATGGATGTGATTTAAAAGACAAATAATTTAGATTTGACCATTCAATGCGTTGTAAAGTGACAAGCAAAAGTTGAGTTTTATAGCTAAACGAGCAAAGACATGTAACCTGTTGATGTAACCATGTTTAGGTTTTTTTTAAATCTGTGACAGCAGTTAATTTGTTTCGAAATTATTGAGTTACTCTTGTTCAAGAAGGACAAAAGATAAATTCAATTTTAAAATAAATTTAGTCCTACTATATTGTGTTACTCAGTACGGGAGCTTATTCACATACAAGATATGCCTTTTATTTAAGACGCCCACATTTTACATTGTTCTACCTTGCCTGTTATATCTACATATTTCGAAATTTCGTACTTATTTTCCGTACATTATATTTGATTTGAAATCTTTAATTTTGTTGTTGTTGTGTGAAATCTACTCTTATAATAATATACGCCTGCATAAAAAAAAATCAAAAAAGAATATTTACTGTTTTTCTATGAAAAATGTGGAATAAATAAAACTTAAAACTTAAAAAAACTTCTAAGTCTAGAAGTTACCAATATACTGCTTTATGATAATACCTTATATCAAAACAATATTGGAAGGTTTTTCCACATCGAATATCTTAAAACCCAACAAAATAACGGTACTCTTTTCTTAATAGATAAATATATTGTAAAACATTTGTCCAGTTGTCTACGATAAAAATATAAATCATTTGTCTTAAAAAACGTACATTTTTGGTGGTAAATGTGGTAGAACCATCATTACTGATCTAAGAGTTATCATCATTATCCTATAATTTTCTCCTACATCTACACTATGATAACAATTTATCACATGCTCATATTAACCTATTTGTTGACATTAATTCATAATTTTCACTACTTTTGCAGATACTCGTGGCAAAAACATAGTGTCATTTGAATGGATAAAAGCCAAATAATAATTTTAACTTTCGGCTCATTTTGTTTTCCAGGACATATATCATGAGGAGCCTTTCTTTGAACGCGTGTATAGAAACTTAAGTTACATCGGATGTGGCATCTCCATTGTCAGCTTAATCATTACGGTGGGAGCCTATCTATCAAACAGGTAAAATGAACCTACATACCATGGTACACACACGCACGCACGCACATGTACCCAAACACCAGCACGCACCTTATGACCACACACCCATACCCTTCTCTCAAACCGGTACATAGGCCTACTTGAAATAAACATAGTTGTGGAAAGAGACGTGAAGTTGAAATTGTTTCGATTTGTTATCGCTTTTGATGACAATCCAACAAGTCCACTAACAATTATTTATAGAGAACAAATAATTGAATATTAATATACCTCCCTCACGGCAATATAAAAAGAATAATTAAAACAATTGAATTAAAAAACCTTGAGAGGATTTTTATTTCAATATGTTTTAACTATTATAGGATTTCCCGGTCAAATTCGCGAGTTTGTCATTCGAATTCATTTACTTTTCATTTAAGTTAGCGCAGATCAGCTTTGCCATGCCAATTATTATTCAATTTTCCCGATTCCGTATTTAATTTAGGATTTTGGTCGAAGGATTTCATAGATCTGTCATTCAATTTAGAAACTGCTCAACTAGCATTCAAATTAATCGTCACTTGTCGAGGCGTCATTTTTATCATTCAAATTAACACCTGTCATTCGTATTCGAATTATGTTTATTCAAGTTAGGAATGTTAGGGGGAAGAAATGCAACACACGTTTACAGCTTTAAAAAAATGCAATTAAATACATGATTTGCCATTGGGGTCTTTTCTGTTATTCAATTTATTAATTTTGAGGACAAAGCATATGGTTGTAGTCAGACATTAGGTAAAGAAGGGGCTAAATCAAGGGATATGGCATCTCTGAACGGACATGCTCATATACCCCTGAAAAGTGGGGATACAAAAACACCTACCCCAGTCACAATATTGTACCCTTCCTCCATAATGAAATTGTGATAAATTTATGATGAAACACAAGACAAACAACTTCCTTACATGAAAATTTACACAATATTGAGATCACCAAGTCCGTAGATGTAAGTCTTTTTTTTTTAACAATCAAACTTAAAGGCTGATGAATATCGGATAAATCTAAAAGTATATAAAGAGTATAAATGCAAGAAAATAAAATAAGATGAAATACACATGAAAAAACGATCTTGAAAGAAAAAGAATGAGCTATAAAAAGTGTTTAATAAACGAGAAATGTATATTGACCATTAATTTTAGTGCACAAAGTGCTAATTTGAATGCTTCAAATGAATTAAAATGCTAGAAGTACACCGTCGCGATGTCCGAAAATCGTGTTGTGCTAAATCGAATGACCAAATAGCGAAAGAAGCACTTTGTTCATTAATTGGAATGAAACATACATAGATTCTAACGAAATCTTCATAGATTTGAAATCTAGAAAAAGGAATATAAACCCGAGATATACCCGACAGCACTAAAACCGTCGAATTTGAACGCAAGACAAATGAATTTGAATGACAAACTCGCGAATTTGGCCGGGAAATCCTATATTATATATATGTTTGACACACGCACATACCCATATTTTCCTTCACACATTCCTTAAACGTGATGTTGCCGAGTTACTATTTCTATTGCAAAAGACATGATCATGGTGATAGAACATTTGTTTCTCGCCAAATTCATCTAAATCTATCCATCCATCTCTTTTATAAGAGACCGTTCGTACCTCGGCCGCGTCATACCAAAAGACGTTAAAAGACGGGAGTTGCTGTTACCTTGTTTGGCGTTCAACAATAAAGGATGGAGCAACGTCGATCTGGCCACTGCTCAGTGGCTGCCGGGCTCACGATCAATTGGGCAAAAAAAATTCCATTTTCGGTTTAACTTAATCAATTTTGGAGTGGACTTTAAAAGAATATTATTATTATTATTATTATTATTATTATTATTATCCTACCTCCCATTGGCAACTTGTCATCTCAAAAACATTTAAATACCATTTTTATTAAAAAATCACCCTCTTCCAGTTGCCTTATACAGATCCGCCACTGACCTAAGCTGTAATAATTGTTACTGATTGAAACACTCTTTTATTTATTCATTTGTCAAACCACAAAATCACAGAGTGTTGAGGAAGCAACAAAGATTCAAGATTCTCATCCTTCTCTGCCTCACTCTACTCTTACTCTACATCTCCTTCGTCATCATGCTCGTCCTCGACTCGACGCGAAACCGTCGCGAGGTTGCTCCGATCCCATGCGCCATTTTGACGGCCGTCATCCATTTCTCCCTGCTGTCCTCGATGGCCTGGATGGGTCTCGAAGGCTTAAATGCTTATTTGCACATCATCAAGATCTTTGATACGTATATTCCGAGATTCATGCAGAAAGCGACACTGGCTGCTTGGGGTAATTATCATACAGTGAGGAATCGAATATTAATCTACGATAATTAGTTTTGGCTTACTCTTGCAGCTGAAGAATACGACATTATGCACCAGTATATATATCAATAAATAATAATAATTGTGTTCACCCAGGGAAGCCTTATCGGCTTCCATGCTATTCTTCCTGAGTGTACTGCAATTATTATTGACCTTGGGATTCGAACACTTAAATCTAGGAATGAGAGCAAGTGAATGAACCACTATGAGCAAGTGAATGAACCACTATACCACGATTCTTCAACAGTGTTTTATGGTTAGGGATCGGACAAGGGTCAAGATCAGAGTCAAGATCAGGGGGGTGTTTCACAAAGATTTTAAGTTGAACTTATCTCTAAGTTGGACTTTCCAATTATGGAAAGCCCGTAGCATCTTAGAAAATGTTTTGTACAATTTATTTTAAAAATCATAAAATGTTGATTCAATTCATTTTCATTTCTATTATCAAGGAAATTTCATATTCTTGATGTGGAATTTATGAAAAGTTTAAAATACGAATGGCTCTCCATGATGTTTAAGTCCAACTTAAGTTAAGTTCGACTTTAAATCTTTGTGAAACACCCCCTGGATTATGGTTAGGAATCGAGTTAGGGTCAGAGTAAGGGTTGAGGTCATTGTGGGGCGCGGTCTTCTGCATGTGCTTCTTAGTTCTGTTAGTGTTCTTATGTTATCATTTGGTGTTGCTTTCTTGCCATCATTATGATTTTTTTACAATCTTACCATTGCTTCACAAAACTTATTTTCCATAAATAAATCCCGACAAAACTATTGACGACTCTAATTCAAGATATCAACTGTTGGCAAGATGTCAATGGGCTCTGGCTCATTTCAGATATTTTCTCCTGATTGTTAATATGATATATCTTTAGTGCATTAATCAGTTTGAATTATTTTAATTATATTCCTACAGGTATCCCTGCATTGGTCGTCATCGTGACTGGGGCGGCTGCAAGACAAAAGTACGCCCATCACGATCGGTAAGAACCCCTAGGATATATCGTTCTAACATACAATTATATTACCATACTGATTCCAAATCGACAAATTCTTTTATCAAGTCTTTGTTCGATCAGGGGTCAGTCTCGTTTGTGTGCCTGGGATATTATTTCGAGAAGCCTTCTTCGAATCATCGGGTCATCGCGTCGGGTCGGGTGGTCGCGTCACCCCAACCTTTTGTCAAATCATGCCCCTTTGTTCACGAAATATCGGGGACAATGTTTGTGAAATAAACCCCTCTCATCTACAAATGATCTGGTACAATTTACCCGACACTTTGTAAAAACCCTAAGGCAAGTCTACGAAAGGTTGCGTCATCGTCCGTTTTCGTTTTACGAAAGGTCGTGTAACGCGACGATGACCCGATGATGCGAATTTAGCCTTTATAATTTAGAGAGTAACTTGCTTTCGAGAATGATACTAATCTGTCACTTTCGCTATGTTACAAAGCAGTGCTGCGTGGGATCTAAAAGCCCGATTAAAGACTTAAATTTTTATAAGAAAGGAAAATGTGCGAGAAATTTTAGTTTGAACTTTCTGTCGCTGTCACCTCAGTTTGTACTAGAAAAGGGACACTAGGCATTTCCCTCAGTGGACACTTTTAAATATATCAAATTAGATGTTGCCAGGAACAAGAATGTTTTTTGGGTGTATTGGGCTTTTACAGACGTGTATCAGTCAGATATGAATATTTACGTCTGGGGACCGACCGTTAAACGTCACCATCTGAAAGACGTGACTCAGTTTCAAACCTGCGTCTTCGGCTGAATCAGTTTGTAACTTCCATTGTTAGCTGGGATTCAGGCGCACGCCAAAACTGCTCCGTATTCAGTAAACCTATACCAAACGCTAGGTCGGTCTAAAATAAGTTGTCAAACGGAAGTAAAGACCGAATGAGCCATTTGCTTAACATGACTTTAGTCCTCAGGTTGGGCTCAACGAAACCAGTAGAATATTATATAACATTAAAGTGCAGTTGGCCGACGGTTGTGGATTACTCTATTTCGACTTTTACAACGTTCTAGGTGTTTCCTCCAGTTCTGGTCTCAGATTGGAGGACTCCTCATCCCAATCGGGGTCATCCTCCTCGTCAACATCGTCATCTTCTCCATGGTTATCGTCCGGTTGGTCCGATCAGCAAATCCTGAAGGTCTAGTGAGGAAAGACAAGAAAGATGAACGTCGGGAAACCATCCACCGAGTCAAGATCGCCATCTCTAACCTTGTCATTCTGGGCTTGACTTGGACAGCTGGTTTTCTGCTCTTCATCGACAAAATAAGCAAGGTATTCCTTTAAAGACAAATGATGATTGTTTTTGCATACTCATTAGTAGTATGTCAGTTTTTAAGAATATCATACTGGAAAATCCCAAGAAAAGTATTGCTCCTTAAATAGACTTATATTCGAAATATCACTTAAAATACAGGACCAAACATTCCACCTTCACGCGTGTGTAATCCGAAACCTTTAACCTTTAAACCTTACTCAAATTTATCTGGAAACGCGACAAATGAGGTTCTCCTGCGGTCTACCCTAGGCTAAGTTTTTCTCTGTTTATTAAGACATGAGTCTTTGCGTCGATTATGACCAAACCAGTAGAATTTTTCTTGGGTAAATCTGTCTCATGGCAAACGTCACTTTTCAATAATGTCGTGGCCTTCTGTGTAAAATATTTTGGTATTGTTCTACCTAATCTCCATATGCAGTTTCTATAGTTAGATCATCTTGATTTGTTATTTCTTGTTAAGATTGCAGAGGGACTCTTTATCGTTTTAAACGCGCTTCAGGGCTTCTTCATATTCCTTCTGTACTTTGTCCGCATGCCATTCTTCCGCAAAAAAATGTGCAAGACCTGCCGAAGTGGCAAGCACGGACGAGAGGTCGCCTCGAGTCAACTTTACATTAGTGAAACTGCATCCTCATCCTCATCCTCAACGAAAGCAACATTCGAGCTGACATTCAAGCCGACATCGGGGCCGACATCGAGGGGAAACGTTGATGCAGTGGATGGTGGCGAAGGAGGAAGGCCGAGGAAATATAAATCAGGGAATGGAGAAGCCCTACCGCCGGCTTTCATCGAAATGAATAATGTTGGTATCATACATTTGAAAATGTTACAAGGACCCCAAAAGTTTGATTATTACTGATACATCGGGCCCTATATAGCTGACGCAAAATATTTACCATAATGATACATCTCTAGTGCTCACACCCACCACGCAAAGTGCTCAAAGCGCTTAAGATGAATGTCTTGCGGAAGGACATTCCGAGGCCAATAATAATAATAATAATAGCTCGTTCTTATATAGCGCTTTTCAGGACCGGAGGCCCTCACAAAGCGCTTTACAGATAAGTATATTATTACCCCGGTCATTGGATTCAGGCTTACCCGCACACAATTATGCACATTCTCCACTCCCTGGGGAGCATTCCAGCCAAGCGTCATTTTTACATGCGCACACTTGCTAATCTAACCACATTTATTAGCTTTCGCATCCTACCGAGTACCCATTTAACACCTGGGTGGAGAGTGGTAAATGTAGATCAATGTCTTGCCAAAGGACATTAGTGCTGCGGCGGGACTTGAACCACGGACCTTGTGATCCACAGTCCGGCGACTTATCCACTCGTCCACAACACCATCCCACGACCTTCGCATCTCCAGTCAAGTGCTTAAACCACTCGACTAGGATACCTCTACAAATTATTCAAATCTGATTTCACCAAAATGACAAAAGTTTCATTTTATTTTTTTATATTTTAAAGAGGGAATCGTTAGAAGGTACCTGCACTATACATTATTAGAGAACAGTAGATACCTATCTTTAGTATGTTGAATAAATCTAGTCATCTGATTGTTCAAAATTGGAGTCGTGATATTAGCCATGCCCGCAAAGAAACGAACTATGCCCGTTGCCCCTGGTATTATGGGCATAGTTACAAACAAATTATATATAATAGATAAATTACAAACTATATTTTACAAAGTATACATAATTTATTATACGAGAGTACATGTTATAGGCTTCGCTTTGGTATCATACATTTTGTATTATGAAGAAAATATGTTTTTTGCTGTCTATTTATATTGAAGTAAAAGATTTGATTGTGACATCCAGTAATGAATTGTGCAGTTGAAGTAGTTGATATCAAATCAAATATTGATGTACAATTTTATTAATCTGGAATGCTTCATCTAATTTTGTTATTATAAGTTTTGATTGTTTTGCGCTTGAAGATATAATAAATTAATAATAAATAGATAACTGAATTCAAAATTCTCTTGTTGTTCAATACAATTGAGTAAATAAAAGTGCCCTATTTCTCGAAGAATTAACGGTGCCAGTCAGACTTTCGTTGATGAAAATGTTGAAGGATGGATAACAATGCATCAAAATTAGCACACATTAATGCATTCAATATAAGAGCCTAAATCATATACACAGCTGTCTCAGATTGATTGATTGATTAGTTGCTTTTAGTTTTAAATCATATTCCACCACGCAAAATTAACAAAGCATAATGCATTTGACAATAACAACCACCACCAAAATATTACAAATTTCTTTCAGTTATATGGAAGTAATTAATCCTGAATCATAGTAATCAATGATATTGTAATGGTACGCTCATTTGGGCCTCACATTTGACCTAAAGGGGACGCTAGAGCCATAGAAGAGCCGGGCTGGGTTGATTAATTGTATTCACCTAAAAGTTAAATAGCATTAATCATGTTTCCAATAGTATGCCGGGAACGGGTAAACAACCCCTGGTTTTGAATTCTTGCATGAGATTAAAGTGTTCATTTCGATAAGCACGTTGGAAATGAAATACTGCATCAAGATGTAGTGGTGTTCATTTCCATGTTAGACAATAGACTGTTTTGCCGGGGACGCGACATTCTCGCGAAGAGATAGACTCCTCCCATTTTTGTCGGTGACTAGTTCAAATCACTCTTATTTATTATGCCTTGTCATTGGTTATAATTAATTGAAGGTGTAACTCCTCTCTTAATTGGTCGGATGACCTAGGGGTAGTTAGATTTATCCCGTCTTGTAATTGGTTGGCTTTGTAAGGGTCATCCTGGTTGGCTGGGTATATCATGTGATATCTAAGCCTCGTCGGGTGCCGGGGTATTTAAATGCCATGTGCGGGATTTTGTAGTCATATTATTTGAGAGTATATTATTTGAGAGTTAATTTTATTCCGTTATGTTTAGGATGTGCTGCTAGTTTACTGTCAATATGGCCGCCTCTGAGAGAAGCAGCTTATTCAAAATGTTTATATAATAATTACTCTTCGTTTGCAACGATTGGAGCTTCGGCTGACTTAAATAATTAATAAAGTGGACTTCAACTGTAATTCCGAGCTTATTGTGTTTTCATTTATATTGGAACTAAGCGTCTCCAACTCATTAAATAGGCCCCCCCCCCCACAATATGAAAGAATTTTCTGTAAATCTTTAAAGGGATAGTTGAGGTCTTGGTTAAAGGGACTAGGTAACATTTAACAGATGAGGGGAAATGGTGCTAAGGTAGTGACCTAAATGTTAGATGTACAATTAAAGATAATCTTAAAAGTTTGAGTGAAAACAGACTATCATCAATGATAAAAAAACAGCACTATTTCCCGGCAATAAGCTGCATAAACCAGTAAACATTGTCATAAATGGAGTAATTGGAAGACGACGGCTTTGGGGGGAAATGGTCAGGAATGAAAATCTACTCTTAAATTTGAAGTAATGGCACTTGTATACTGAAGACAAACGTGTAGGTCTATATCTGATCTAAGGGGGAGTTGTGACAGTTTAACCCTAAAAGGGACGGGTTATCAAGTATCACAAATCTTATGACGCAAATTCCAGGTCACAAAGTCAAGGTCAAAGGTCATTTTAGGTCAGTATGTGAGGATTAAAAAAAAAAAATCATTTTTTGTTATTTGTTTATGTTCCATTAAATTTATTAATCTTGGTACAAATTATAGTAAATAATTCTTCCGATGACTCTTGGTCAATATTTACTTCAAAATGCTGATTATATTGCACTTGTATACTGAAGAGAAACGTGTAGGTCTATATCTGATCTAAGGGGGAGTTGTGACAGTTTAACCCTAAAAGGGACGGGTTATCAAGTATCACAAATCTTATGACGCAAATTCCAGGTCACAAAGTCAAGGTCAAAGGTCATTTTAGGTCAGTATGTGAGGATTAAAAAAAAAAATCATTTTTTGTTATTTGTTCATGTTCCATTAAATTTATTAATCTTGGTACAAATTATAGTAAATAATTCTTCCGATGACTCTTGGTCAATATTTACTTCAAAATGCTGATTATATTGCACTTGTATACTGAAGAGAAACGTGTAGGTCTATATCTGATCTAAGGGGGAGTTGTGACAGTTTAACCCTAAAAGGGACGGGTTATTTTGGTACTCTCTCAGCCGAGGGGAAGGGAGGGGTGCCCCCTTAGAATATCAGCATATTGATAGAGTTTGTCACTAAATAAATAAGTCCATGAAGTTTTATAAAAAATACACAAAATCAATGACCAATGGAAATTGAATGACCTCGTCCATTGTGTAAAAATGTGTAAGTTATTCCCGAGCTGTGAGGTCTAGAGAAAAGAAATAACTATCATGCTAAATGGCAACATACTAGTGCAAGTCAACCACTTCAAGTATCTAGGCAGTGTGCTGACTGAGGATGGCAAGTCTGCTAAAGAGGTCAACTTGCGCTCAGCTCTGGCAAAAGCTGCCTTCATTCAACGACAAGCTATCCTGATGAGCCACAATATTGACCTTAGTTTGAGAAAGCGTCTTGTGAAGTCTCTAGTATGGAGTGTACTGTTGTATGGGGAAGAGACGTGGACACTCACTAAAAAGAACATGCAGCGATTGGAGGCGGTCGAAATGTGTGTGCTGGCGAAAATTACTAGGTGTGTCCTGGAGGAACAGAGTTTCGAATGAAGAAGTGTTGCATTGAGCTCAAGAAAAGCGGGTGCAGATTCAACCGATTAGAGAGAGACAGAAGAAATGGCTTGGACACATAATGCGGCATGATGAGGGCTTGATTCTCAGAGTCATAGAAGGTCGTATTCATGGAAAGAAGAAGAGAGGAAAACCTCGTAAAGGCTTTCTAGACGGTTAAATCACAGAATGTGGAGCAATAGGGTATGAAACGCTGAAACGGATGGCTCAAGACCGAGGAACTTGGAGAGAAACTTGATGTAAAATTTTGATTGGGTCACTGAACCTGTCATAAACTGACAGATCACTAGTGGTGAATATATACTGTTTGCGACCTGTTTAACGACTTTATCGGACGGGCTCGGACTGGACTAATGTCTCTTATACGATCCTAGTTCGTTCATTAACAGTCCACAATACGTCCAACTCGTCTGTACCCGTCCACAGTCAGTTCATATCAAGTTCAAATCGGATACATTTGATATTTCCAAATAGTCTAAACCATTTTTACCAGTTCGGAACTTGTTCTAACTAGTTTATAACCCAACCACTCCGTTCAGAGACAGTTCAACTCGTCATCATCTCGTTCTTAGTGCGTTCGAACGCGCTTCTGTCGTGCTTTGTATTATCCCGTCCTGGTTCGAGTGCTATACAAATCCAGCGCGTTCTTCCTCATTAAAAAATGCCACATCACGTGGTAACACGTTCCTAGTAGGATCGAAGTACGGCAATTCCGTTCATAGTACGGCAATTCCGTTCGTAGTACGTCCATCTCGTTTTAAGTACGTTGTCACTCCGTCCAATTGCAGGACGGGGAGAATTTTGAACAGTCTCAAAGTTCTAGACCACCCTTCCCGTCCAAGCCAGTCCGAGCCCGTCCATGAAGTCCTTAAAAAGATCGTAAATAGTTGCTAATACGTTCACTCCGTTCACACACAGTTCGAGCCCGTTCGGCAACATTTTCCAGATCGTAGTGAGAACTAGTTTGGTGTGATCGGTGCTCGACTTGAACGTCTTGATCTGCAAAGCCTAAAGCGTTAAAGTTGAACGGGAATGAGGAATGGCGAGAACGCGCTGGGTTTTTATAACTCAGGACGGGATTGCACACGCTTTAGGAGCGCGTTCGAACGCACTCAGAACGAGTTAAGGAAGAGTTGAACTGCCTCTGAACGGGGTGGTCGGGTTAAAAACTAGTTAGAACAAGTGGCGAACTAGTTAGAATGGGTTTGGACGTAATGGGAACGAGGTAGAACTAGTTAATAATGGGTTTAAACTGACTACGGACTGGCTTG